AACGAGGAAGCTGAAGATGTGACTTCACATCATGGCCAACTTAGTTAAAAATTTTTATGTTCACACCATCCTCTGGTTATTTTCAGTCTCCTGAGCTTGTCAGGTTTAACCTGTGGCCCCTTTTCCATCAACACTACTCGAAGACGGATGTTGACAGACTGAAGGTAAAGGTCAGACAGCAGAATGTGGGGTATGGGGTGCTGAGCTGCTGCCAGCCCAGGGTTGCTGACTGTGCGTGGCCTATGGGTTTGGGGTCTCTTGGGGTGTCCTGGGCTGAATCGTCACTGTTTTCCCAGGTCTGCCGTATACGCCGTTTGGCCCCCCAGGACTGAAGTTTCCACACCAGAACAGCCCTCTGGACCTGAGGGTGGCCCCAGCCTTGGGTGAGACCCCTTCTGCCAGGGTAAAGCTGAGTGAGGGACTCTACCCCAAACCTCCAGATGGGTCCAGCTGTGCAGGGTGGAGGCTGTTCCAGCAAAGCTGCCTGAGGAGCCTGGTGTTGAGCTCCCCCTGCAAATGCTGCACCTGGAGTGGAGTCCCCAAGGCCCCTTCGGCCCCAGCGCCCAGGCCAGAACCAGGGATCCCACCACAGTCTGCACCCCAGCTCTCCCTGGAGACTGCAGGCTGGCCCCTGCAGGCTTCCCTGGTCTCTTTCCACACCTAAGCTTTCAGCTCTCAGACCTGGGTTCCTTTTGGGCTGATCATCCTGGGCTGCCTCTTTTACATGTAAAATAAGTCTTTGGTTTGCACCCCACTGCCCCCCAGATGTGGTGAGTCACAGAGGTCCTCTAAGCACACTGTTAGTACAAAAACTGCCCTGGGGAAAGTAGGGAGGCAGGAGGGGAGGGTGGCATAAGGCAGCACAGGTAAGAGCCAGGCGAGAGGCAGTTAATTCACGTGTGCCAAGCCCTGTGCCGGGTTTCACCTCCAGGACTCCACATTCCAGCGGGCAGCTTCCAGGGCACAGATGACAACACCTGGGGCACAGCCCTGGGTCTGACACGTGCCTCAGTGGCTCTGTAACTTTTGGAGAGATTTTCCTGGTCCCCTCCACTCAGGTGTAATTCCCATGATGCACAGCAGGTGGCAGCAGAGAAGACTGTTTCCAACCCTTAAGGGCTGTGCCCACGGATTTTCAAAGTTTATTTTTTTCTCATTCTAAATGCAACAAACAAAAAAGTACTGTATCATGGGCAGTACTTTTTTGTTTGTTGCATTTAGAATGAGAAAAAAATAAACTTTTTTTCTCATAAACTTACAGGGCCGGAAACACACAGGGCTGCCAGATCCCAAACCACCGCCGGGTTTAGCCTGAGTCCTTTCAGTTGGAGGCTGTGCTGGTGGTAAAGAGTTTTCCTGCAGCTCACCCATCCTTCCTCCTGTGACCCCCGCTCCCAACCACAACCCTGCAGCTCACAAAAATGCCCACAAAAATGACACTTTTCTTTTTGCTCTGATGATGGGTAAAGCAAACACAATGTGTTGGCATTTGGGGACTGTGAGTGGACGATACGTAGGAGTTGCCTCTGAAAGTCTGTAATTATGTCAAAATACATGTTAACAAAAATCCTCAGCACAAGTTATGCTTATACTTCATAAGGAGACATGCACAGCGTCCGCACCCACTTGCAAGCCCACCAGCAGTGCACAAGGGTTCCCTTTTCTCCACGTCCCCGCCCACACTTGTTGCTTTCTGCTTCCTGACAGTGGCCGTCCTGGGGGTAGGAGGTTGTACCTCTCGGTGGTTTTCATTTGCGTGTCGCTAAAGAGTAGAAGCGTTGAGCATCTTCTCGCGTGGGGGGAGGTTCCTCAAAAAATTATGAGGACAAGTACCTTATGACCCAGTGATCCCACTTCTGGGTATTTATCCAAAAAATTATTGAAAGTAGGATCTTGAAGAGATATTTGCATCCCATGTTCACGGCAGCATTTTTTACAGTAGCCAAAATGTGGAAGCCACACAAGTGTCCGTTGACAGATGAGTGGATACAACACATGTGCTACGTGCATCCAGTGGGACAGTATTCAGTCTAAAAAGAAAAGAAATCCTGCCACGTGTTACAACCTGGAGGGCCCTTGAGGACATTATGCTCGGTGCAGTAAGCCAGTCAGAAAAGGACGCGTACTGAATAATTCCACTTATAGGAGGAATCATGATGGGAACAGGAAAGGAGAAGGTGGTTGGTTGCCAGGGACTGGGAAGGGGGGAATGGAGAATCTTTGTTTAATGGGGACAGAGTTTCAGTTTTGCAAAATGAAAAAGCACTACAGACCTGTTACACAACAAAGGAATATAGTTGACACCCCAGAACTGGACACTTAAAAGTCGTTTTGTATTATGTGGTTTTTTACTACCTTTAGAAATTGATTAATTTAAAGGCCAGGTTAACACTGTACATTTTTTATTAACGAACATGGAAGCCTTCATTTAACATAACTTTACTAAGTTCACTAGGATAGTCACTGTTTCAAAATCTGGGCCCAGAGTGGGAGAGAGAGCAGAGTCCTTGTCACGGAGGGGACAGAAGTTGGGAACTGCTCCCCTCGCGGCTTCCTGAGGCCACTTCCAGTTCGAGGATTTCTGTGGGTTACGGCCTGGGGTGTATTCCCTCCCTCTGCAGGGTCTCCCTGGGCGCCCTATCAGGCAGGTATAAATAGGTGATCATCCACCAGATTCTGGCTGGGGGCGAGCGGAACGGACTGGAAGCTCGTCCCACACACAGCCTGGGAGCCTGGCCTCCCCAACGGGCAGACTGCTGCTTCTGGATGTCCTAGGCGGGCAGGAGGGCATCGAGACAGGGCTCAGCCTGCGACACCTCAGAAATGCCCCCATAACAGCAAGCGCTCAGGGCTGGGCTTGTGGGGGACGGGGAAGAGAGGGGACCCTCCCCCCGCAGCCAGCAGCCCTGAGGGCTCTTCACTGTCATGAGAACTCTCTGAACCGGGCAGGAGAGCCCTCGATGCCAGAAGCTGTGGACCAAGCACTGGTCCTTTCTTTCGACAGCTTTGGAGGGTTTGAAACATCCTGTGCAGAGCTCCCCACAGAGATCTGAGCAAACTTTGCCGAACTCAAGTACCTCTCGTAAGCCTTGTGCTTTGCACACTACAGGGGCTGCCCGGTAACCGTGCCAGTGGCCCCTCAGCAGCACCTGATGTGCACCCCACAAGGGCCGGTGGGACACCCCGCTGCCCAGACCACAGATGAGGGACAGACTAGGCTGTGGTCAGCAGTGGGTCATGCCATGGGAACCCGAGTCTTCGGCCCCGGGCTGCTGATGTGGGGAGGACGGTGGAGAAGCGCGTGACAGCCCCGACTTCCCCACGGGAACTGCAGCGAAAAGAAGCAGGGGCCTTGCCCAGGTCGGGCGGCAGGGGTGGGAGGCCCGAGGGGGCCGTTCCCGGCTTTCGGAATGAGAGGCAGGTCAGACACAGGCAGTGAAGCAGGACCGTGGGGACAGGGCTGGGTGCTGAGGCGGGGGCCGCTGGGGGGTGCAGGTTGGAAGAGGTGGGGCAGATGGGACGATGCCTACAGTGGGGTCAGGACCCGGAGGGGAGAGTGCCCACAAGCGTGGTGGCTACAATACAGCACAGGTTCACGCTCTCACAATCGCAGAGGCCACCCGTCCAAGGTGGGTCTCGCTGGCGTGGAGAAGACCTTCCCTGGGGAAGGTGAGTGAAGGCAGATGTCAGGAAGCCCTGCCAGGCAGGGGAGCGGGGAGGGGGTGTCCTGCAGGCATGGGGAGCCCCGGGAGCTGTGAAGGTCCTAGGCCCAGTGTCACTGGCTGCACCTGGGCCCTGGGCGTGGAGAGGGAGCAGACAAGGCAGCAGGAGGCCAGTGAGGGGCTTCAGGCTGGGAAGGGAGTGTCAACAGCGGGAAGGGCCCAGGAGGCGGCAGATGGGGCCCGAGTTGCACAGACGGAGGAAAGACTGGTGTCCCCATGAAACAAGGGCTGGCCCCCAGGCCACCAGCACTGCGGCCGGGTCCGCAGCAGGGCTAAGCAGTTCCGATACAGGGGACATGCGAGGGAAATGCACTTCCACCCACGGAGGCGACACACTGGGTGGGTCCG